GAGCGAGGTGGTAAGAGCGTAGTAAAGCCAACGCTCGTGCGCAGAATAATCCCCAGTGTAGGTAAGGTTGTGTGGTGTTAAAGCCTTGGGATCAGAGAGCAGGCAGTAGCTTTCGAGGTGAAGGGATCTCCTGCAAGACGTCGTCAAGGTGTAGTCCAGAAGAAACGAGTTCGTAGTTGGACGTGGACGTTGTTCAGACCTTGGCCTCATTACGGTGGGTGAATGCCACGCAGCCGTCCCGCTGCCTCGCTCCAGGGCGCACCTCACCCGGGTGCCTGCTTCAGATTGCTGCTGGATCCCAGTGGATCCCGAGGTTTTGTCCACACTCTCCCATCCTTCTGTGCACCTTTCGATGCGCTGCTTCCCCTGACTGTTCAACGGCCAGCGAACACAAGGAGTCTCCTCCAAACCCGTTAATGCTGGCCCTGAATCCTCGTTCCGATGAGCTGCAGGCTTGATCCCAGGCATGTTGAGTCTGCTCGGGCTCGTAAGCCAGAGGAGGGGAGCGGGGTCGCTCGTGCTGCTATTTCCCTTTCCGCCCGATAGCTGCAGTGTGCCTGCGCATAAACCCTCTTGTCACGACACTGCACGATGCTTTGAACGCCGAGAACTGCCCGTCTTCGTGCCGTGCAGGTCTCACATGGCGGGCTCTGACTTACCACGAGGATTGGAAGACTCGTCCCGTGCCCTACGAGCTGGAAAGCCGCGTTTGTGGCACTCCCCGAGGGCGAGCTGGCTGGCTGATAGGAGAGGTGTGGCGCATTTGGTCACTGTTTGCTTTTAATCGCCTCAGGCCTATGTTAATCCACGAAATCTCATGTCTTGACAGGGTTGTTTTCATTTTAGATGCTCTGTTTGATCTGGTTCACATCAGCGTGCACCCTGGGAAACTGCACCGCTTAAATTCGGGGCGTCTCTCCTGGTCCGCAGCACCCCTGCTTGCCTGGCATGGGAAAGCCAGCTGGTGTTTCTTGGCCAAAGCTGTTGTGTGAATCAATGTGCTGCTTTGTGCTGATCCTCTGGCAACGCTGCAGTCCAGGAGCAAGGCTTTGCTGCTGGGAACGTAGCTCAGCTTTCATACCGGCTGTTGGTAGCACAATAAAAGCTGTCCCCAATTCCAAGGTACATTCCTGCCCACGCTGCTGCAGGGACGTCCTCTTTGGGACAGCGGATTCAAGCTGCTGGCTCCTGACATCGAGCTGCCCTGGTGTGCCAAGGTGATCCTGATGAATTTTTTAGCAGAGAACCGAAATAGCTAAGCCCCATTAAAGAGCTCTCCTGCAGTTAGACCACCCTCTGTGGAAGCTCTCTGTTCCCGTTCCAGCTCCCGTCTAATCCTGTGATCTCTTTTTTAAAAGTGCCTTTATTCTTGCGTGCAGCAAATACTTGCACAGAACCACCGGGAGCTCTTCCAGGTATTACCGGCTTGTCCCAATTATGGGAAACGCAGGTGGTCATCTTTTCTCATACTTTAGTGTTTATGATTTTCAGCTCCAAACAGAACGGAGAAACGATAGTCGGGCAGTTTTTCAGAGCGAGCTGCCAACAAGTGCGCTGGACCCCGACACTGCCGCAGTCCCCGCTTTGACAATGGGAAAAAAAAAATGGTGTTTTCACAAGAAGACAGTTAACGTGGCATAAGACCTTAGTGGCGGTGAGGCACGGGCAGTCCTGACCGTGACATAGCTGAGATCAGTCCTGTGCCGCTCATCGGGACTTGACCTCGCATCACTGCTGCAAAGTAGCAGCTCTCTCTGTGCGCCCAGCGATTCCGCATCCGTGTAGCTCCTGCCGCATCGTCATGCCCTTTTTTGCTCAAGAATGCAACCTCAGACTCGCAGAAACAACCGGCAGCCCAAAAGTCATGGTCCAGAACAAGGCGCAGTCATGTGCTACAAGGACAGCGTGCTGTCTGCACGCCTCTCGGTGCGCGTGCTGTGCGCGGCTGGCACTTCAGGTTTTATAAAAGTTTCAGATCAGTGGCTGCCTGTTTTATTGACATGTCGGTGAGCGCAGCGCCGGGCAGAAATGCTCCGGCTCGCAGGACAGGTTCCTCACTGGGCAGGAGGCTCGTGCACGCGGAGGTGGGGATCCGTGCCCAAGGCAAGCCTACGGGCAGAGCATCTCCGCACGTCCCTGGGTACCACCTGGCTTGCGCTGAGATGGAATTATTTTTGGTTATTCTCTAGTATTATTCTTAACGATGAGGGAGCTGAGGGGGCGTAGCTGCGCTGTGGTCTTGATCCAGAAGGTTAGCGTAGTGCTGGTGGGAGCCAAACGACAGCGTGGGCAGTACAGGCAAGCCTTAAAGGAGAGACAGTCAAATATTTGTCTGAAGGTAAGGACGGACCAGGGTTTTCTCTAGCGACCGCTCCGTGTTACCATCACTGACTGTCTCAAGTATCGGGACATAGCTCCGGAGGAGAGTGAGGTCGTGGATCAGCTCAAAGCTAAGGGCAGCTGTGAGAATTTGAGCAGAATCTCTCACCCTGTATTCTCTTCGTCCCCCGTGGTTTTCTGACTCCCGGGTGCATCTTCTAATCTGCAGTTTGCTTTGTGTCCTGGACTGACAAACGCTGGTACACAGAGAGGAAAGGGGAGTCGGGATCACTCAAATGTCTCAATTAATTTGCTCCTTAGCAAGATTGATATCAAAATGTAACAATTCCATGTTGCTGTTATCAGCACGGAAATCTTGTATATCTTATATCTGTAGGTCTCAGTCGTATGAATTTCGCCTTTCATTTAAGAAAAAAAGAATGGCATTTTAGTGGAAGGGGAAAGCTGAAAATCTGGGCATCTAAAAACCCAAGTGTTGAATGATCCAGGAAAAGAATCCAATGGCTTTACTTTTTCAATTCCATTATTTCCAAGAAAATGAAGTTTACCGAACAGAAGTCCAATTTTATTTTTTTTTAGTAGTGCTTCGGGTTGGCAACAGTGCATTTCTAGGTATCGTGTTGAGTCCCGCATTGCCTTCTTCTGTGGGTGGGTGAGGATTTTGGACTGTTCTGATCTGCCTCCTCCCGCTCCATCTCCCGTAGACGGGACGGCGTACGGTGCGTGCCTAGCGCTTCACACCGCGAATGCTGTGATTGTCATTTCAGGCTTCTTCCCCAGCATATAGTGGCTCCAACCTGTATTCCCCGGATTCTTCAGCCAACTCTGGTCCCATTATCTCTGACGTGACCGAGCTAGCCCAGTCCAGCCCTTCAGCATCTCCCAGCGGCAGTCTCGATGAAAGGTACGCTCTTGCTCTCATAAAATTTGCGGCTGTCTGGATAGGGAGAATGTTTCCCAACGAGCTGAGTAGTCAAACACCGTAATAACCTGCCTCTTCTGTTAAGAATCCCCCGTGAGCGACAGCTGGAAAACAGCGCAGCCCTTGGCACAGGGGACGCTCGGGGTGTTTGAACTCAATCCTGCTTACCATACCAGGACTTTACAGAAAGTTGGACCTCTCCCTCCAAGATAGTCTTGCTCAGGGGACTGCCATCTCAGCAGATTTTTGGTTGCTTGGTTGGTTTTCTTCAGCTTTAATTCTATTTTCCAAACAACACTCACTCCTCTGCCTGCCTCGTCTAGTGCGAACCTGTCCGGGGAGGGGGGTCCCGGTTTGGTTTCCACGAGGAAGCCATCTTTGTCGGCCTGTCTGCTCCATCCTGTGAAATTACCAACATCCTGGGAGCAGGGGTAGCTTTGCCCTGCCCTTATAAATTTGCTGCACAGAGGAGGAGGTGCAGAAAGCAGCGTCGTTCCCAAGAAACTGAGAATAACAATGACAGCTCTATCCCAAACAGCACGGGTGAAGAGGCCGAGAATCTGTAGCAAATAGAGGTCAGCCAGCGCCCGGCAGCAGATTTACAGGCCCTAGCAGAGGTGAGAGCTGCCCTCAGATGCCGTCGGGAATACTCAGCCTCGCATGCCTCTGCCAACGCCGTCCTGCGGCGGTGAAAGCCTCTCGCTGCGGCCCTCGACGTGGCCGTTCAGCCCTCGCTCCCCGCAGCCCCGCTCCCACCGAGCGTTGGCGGCTCTCGAATTTTCTGAGCCTCCCTGGGCAAGAAGGGCCCGTCTTGCCTTAGCATCTTGTGGTCTCCCGACTCCTTTTTTTTCTTCCTCTTTAATAGGTTATTCCTGGCATTGGCGCTTCCCCTGAGGTGCTGAATCACCCACAAATGCCATTTATTGCCTTTAATACCCTCTGCCAGGAACGCTCGCTCTTAAATATAGACCATATGTTTGCTTAATGGCCCTTTTCTCTGTCCTTTTGTAGTTGCTGTCCGTTCCAGTAGGACTAATTGCGCCTCTTACACCCCCAAATCAGTGAGTTTGGGTGGTAAAATTAGGGCTGACCAAAGAATCCATCTTCCCTCCCCATAAAAATAGTACGTCTGAAAATGCCTGGGTGCTTATGTAAAATGTCGATCCCAGGCTTTGTCTGCACAAAGGAGCCGCTCCGCTGACCTTGTGGGAGCAGTTAAAACGCTACAGCCTCTGGTGTGGTGATGATTATGTCATGCACGTCTCAGGTGACTTTAAAAAAGGGTCTGTACGCTGTGCTACTTCTCTACTATTTAGACTATGTCCACATCAAAAGCTGTATGGTTTTAACTGTTCGGTTAAAGAAAAAAAAAATCACGCCCTCCTTCCAATAACTTTACCTATACAGAGCTGACTGCATGGCAGGTCCTGGACCGAGCAGCCTCACAAACCTTTAGCCACAAGAAAGACGCTGAGATTGCAGTAACAGCGCAAGACATCGATGCGTCAGGGGAGCTGATTAGGATCAGAATCAGAGAAGAAATATTTAGGTATTCGTTCAACCTCATCTTTGTGGCCGGCTCTGGAGGCTTTGTATGTGAAAAGGCAAGAGCAGTCAGGAGGATTTTTTGCCCTATTGTGTGGAAGCAGATCTTAGAAATCAAGAATGTGCTAGGGTGAGATTTTTACCAATTTTCTTTCTGTTTCTCTCAGGAGTAGTCCTGTGGTCCGTATCAAAGAAGAACCCCCTAGTCCTGCCCGCAGCCCCCAGATAGAGGAGGCCAGCCCAGGGAACCCTCCTGCTGTTGAAACTCCTCTGTTCCCCTCCACGTTCATTGACTCCATCCTGCAGGAGAATGAACCCAGCACTACGACCGCTGCAGCCGGCGACAGCACCACACAGCCTCAGCCCCAGGAAAAGTGCCTCAGCGTTGCCTGCCTCGACAAGTAAGTGCTGTGCGGAGAGCGGCCCAGCTCAGGTCTTGCCAGCCATCCCGCCGCTCTGTACTGTTAAGCTTTAAAGATCGTAGAAGCATCGAATTGTTTAGGCTGGAAAAGACCTTGAAGATCATCCAGTCCAACCACTGACCCAACACTACCAAGTCCACCACTAAACCAACGAAGGGCAGAGTCATAATTCCATGTTTCCTGGCTTGGTGGCTGGATTAGTTTTTAATGAAAGTAAAACCAGGAATCACTAAGGTTGGAAAGGATCTCTAAGATCATCAGCCCAACCATCACCCCAACACCCCCATGCCCACTAAACCATGTCCCCCAGTGCCACCTCTGCCCGTTTTTTGAACCCCTCCAGGGCTGGGGACTCCCCCACCTCTCTGGGCAGCCTGGTCCAGGGCTTGACCACTCTTTCAGTAAAGAAATTTTTCCTAATATCCAATCTAAACCTCCCCTGACGCAGCTTGAGCCCATCTCCTCTCGTCCTATCAAGATGAAAGCAACCTGGGCTTCCAGCCAGCGTTGGAAGCAGATGTGGTCATTTGTCCAAGGAGCTCACCGGTGGCTCTGCCCGCAGCCCTCCCTGCGAGTGCCAGGGTAGATATTTTGTTCTCCCGTTCCTGTTCCGCTTGGAGCAATGAGTGCATCCCACCACCTGACCCCACGTGCAGAATTAAACCCCCTGTGTGGGGGACCCAACGCTCTGCTGCAAGGGGCCACGTGGGATGCCAAAATAAGAACGGGTAAAAATGACTGTGCTAAATAAGGGCTTGTTCAAACTGCCTGCTCCTCCGGCGCAGGAGTGAGTCAGTGTAAGATCAGCTGTTTCATCTCGGGCCCAGCACATCCTCACGGATGCAAAGCTTCTGCATTGTATTTGCAGTCCAAAGGCAGCTGACAGGCACACAGCGCAGGCGGCTTGCAGTCGTGCTTGCTAGAAGCTTGAATCCCGGTGGGTTTGCTGTCGGTGAGACTTGGAACCGCTGTGGGCGGCGTTTCTCCGTGAGCCTGCTCTGACAGCGTGCACTGTAGCGCTGCCCTCGTGCTGTCCTCTGCTTTTGCCTGTCCCAGCTGCCCTCCAAATTAATAAGAGAGGAAGCTTTGCATTAAACTGTCATTTGCCCACCTAGTCCTAGACACGGTGAATAGATTCTCCCGCTCAGCCTCTTTACTCACTAGGACGCAGCTTGCTTCAAACTTAGGCTGGACTCGGTGGGTGACAGGCTGAAAGTTGATGGGAAGCTTTTTATTAGGGATCGGGTCTGCGGTCTTACGTCTTTTATCACCACACAGTGCTCACAGATGCAACTGCAAGCGTTGGGATGAAAAAGTAGAAAGTTATTTGTCCTTATCAAACTGCCGAGAACTTCGTCCTTGACCATATTGAGATCTCAGCCACTTCTCAGATCTCGGCCGCTTCCCGTTCTCCCTGCATTCTGGGGAAAACAGAGTATTGGAATTAAGGTCTTCCCTCTGAATGCCAGGACAGACTTTCTGTCCTTCAAGTATAAAAGCAATTTGGAGAAGACACAATTAGTTTCAGGGTCCTGGAAAGCAGCAGAGAGCTCCGTTAGCAGGAAGGCTGCTATGGGCTCGCACACCCAAGGTGATGATAGTGTGACGTGCGCTTCCCTTCTCATTAACTCTGTTAGCTGTCAGTGTCCGGAGCTGCAGAGTCATAGCTCTAGGTGGAGAAGGGACAAAAGCAGTGGAAGAAGCCCTCTTCCTTTAACGTTGCACAGTGAGCACAGAGACAGCCGAAGGCTGTCCCACCACAGCAGGGTCTGTGGCCTCTTGGCAGCCCGACGGAGCAGGGGTTGCTGCCTTTACACCTCCGAGTCAGGCAGAGCCAGGAGATGCCGGCTCGCTCCTTCCTCTTGGCCTTGGAGATGTTTGTCTGTAGCTTCACCTATTTATAGACCCGTCCAGGGCGCTGCAATCCATCTCACCGATACCAGCTGTCCTTAAAAAGAGACAGATTTTATCGTACAGCTCATCAGGAGCTGAAAGCGGCCATTTCAAAAGGAATCAAAATTTTTAAAAAGTGCTGCCGAGAGTGTCTCTGAATCATTAAGGACTCTCGCAGGCTGTGCAGAAGCAGGCAAAGGACACAGAAAACATTTGCCCCCTGCCCCTGCGGAGACTGAGCTCCACGCTTCGTCTTAGAAAGCTTCTCAGACCTGTTTAAAAGAAAGGGCTTGTGCTTCCTCTTCTTTTGATGCTCTTTTACTCCCGCATTTTGCAAGCAACGCTGTGCTTCTCTCATCTGTTTGCAGTTCCTTTAGAGGGCATTCCAGGAGGAAGGAATCTGGCCAGTAAGGTTTCCCAGCCATGCAGTAGTCCTGTATCCATCTCAGCTCCTAGCCCGTTTGCCACATGAATTTGTAAAAGACGAGTTGTGGCATACTGTGGGCCGAGCCCGTGGGCACACAGCGCTAGACAGAGCGTAGCCATTTGACAGAAAACCTGCCCCTGCCCCAGGGAATCGGAAGGCACAGTGGAAATAATAAAAGGAATCCCCAGCCTCCGCTCTCCTCTGGGTTTGGATGGTGTTAGCTTTGTGCCTCAGCACCTCCGCACGCCGTTTTGTTCGTTCGGGTTACTGAACTCCATGTATCCTGTTATGCCAGAGGAATATCAACTCGGAGAAGGAGGTGAGTATTCCCAGCGTGCCGAGGCCTCTCAGCTCTTTTCCCGATGTCACTGGAGCTACCCCGCGTCCCCTTGAGTGGAGCGGAAGCCGTCCGGCACTCGTAGGTACCCAGTGGGAAGGGGAACGACCAGGGCGTGAGTTGCAGTGAGATACTGAACAGGCAGAAAGGACGACTCGCTCATGGAAATGCCGGCGATGAGCTGTTCTAGACGGGCAGCACGCTGCTTGTCACGTCCCCGGGAGTGTATCAGGCCCTGCTTCGGAGCCAGACGGCCAAGGCGCGCAGCCTCTCCATGTGCCCCGTCCCGCGGTCAGAGCTCACCGCTCGGTGCTGGCTTTGGGACCGAGCAAGCTGCGTGTCCCGGTGCGCTGCGTGCGCCGCGCCAAGGACGTGACGCTGTGCTGAGGCTTCTGTGAAATTCCCAGGAGTTTGCTCGTTGTATTGAGATGCAGCTAATGAGGGAAGCGTTCACTGGTGGTAGGTGACTTTACAGTATAGCAGGGGTGTCCGCACGCCGCTCGCTTGACCCGGGCACTGACAGCCTGCCAAGGAGTCTCAGCAATACCTGCTTTTCATCACATGAAGCATGTTTCCGTCGTTCTCAAATTTATTTGAGAAGAGCAGCCTCTAAGACGGCAGGTCGTGGCATGCGGTGCCTCTTTGCGAGCCATGCGGGCTGTTATTTAATCTACAAGGCATCCTTTGTCCAAGGGAATTTCATTTGAACTGAGAATTACCTCTCTGTGACCAACAGCATTTTAGCAGCAGGTGACAGTACTGAGATTCAGGCAATAAAAGGGAATGTTTGCATGGAAACGCTCGACGGTGTTGCCCAAATATTATCCACCACCCAGCCGGGGACCTACGGGAGCCACTTTACAAGAGCCGAAGCCCCGCTACGTGCTGGAAAACGTTGACGCCTGCGTGATTAACATAACGTATCTATTCCATAGAGCAGCAGGGCACTGTCTGTCTAAACGGAGCGTTGTGTGCCAGCGCCTGCGTTCTCCCGGAGCTTCGGGGCCCTGTTAGAGGTGACAGCGACCGTGGTCCCCATGTCAGTGCCACTCCGCGGAAGTTAATATGAGCAGCCGCACATCAGGAGCAGTTTGTCTTGCTGAGAAACTCCTAACTGAGCTCGGCTGCGCTGTAACAAATCTGTGCTCGCTTGCTTGCTTTTGCAGGACTGTTTGTTTTCGTGTTCGGGTTTTTTTTGTTGTTAATTCTGCCAGCCTGGAGCCGCCGCAGTGCCGTGACTGCAGTGCGGTGCGTACCACGCCGCTTGAAGCGCAGGAGCGTGGTCGATTACCTGTTCTTGCCTTTGAACATAACAAACATTTCAGCCCTGAAAGCGCCCGACTGTGAGTCTTTTGAATCTACTATCCTCTTCTGTTTGTATTTTTCAGTTTGACTCGCGCTTCGCAGATGTCAGAGGTCGCTCGTCTTTGCCCCAGTTCTTCCTCTTCCTCACTCCATTGCAGATCACAGCAAGGGTTAGCATTGCCATAGCCGCTGTCCCCAAGCATTGCAATTCTGGGCGAGAGAGCAGGGGAACGCTGCAGTAAGCCGGGAGCTGCCAGCGTGCTGAAGTCAGCTTTCCTAACATTATAGGTAGTATATATCAACAAGGAAAAAACTCGCTCTCAAAATTGGCACTGAGTGGCAGAGTTCTTGGCCAACTCAACACAGCAGCTAAAAGTACCGAGTGGCCGGCGGAGGCTAAACTGCTTCTCATCCTTTTAGGTGGTCTTGGCAGGGAAGGAAGGGAAGTCTGCTCTGCTGTTGTCCATGCTCTACCTGGTTTTGATAAATGGAAACTTCAGCCCTGAGAGCTGCTGGTTCGGTATCTCCTGCCAGCACAAAATTCCCACACCTCGGTAACAAAGCGTTGCATTGGAAAGCGATGGGAGCTCAGGGCTGAAATGACTTCGCTGATGCATTTTCCGGTTTTATGGTAATGACAGAACAATGAAACTTCCCACTGCAAACCTGACTGCGCACCGAGATGCTGTTCTAATAAAGCTTTTCCATAATAAAAAATATCCCAGATCGGGACAAAATCCATCTAGGCCAGTATCCTGTCTCCCACAGAAGCCTAGGAAAAACTGCCTGAAGCATTGCCCTTAAATACTCTTAGCTAACGTGCAGAATAATGCGAAAGACAAATGTAATATGTCTTGAGCTAAAATGCGTTTCTAAATTGGCGTCTCGCCTCCCCCTCAAGGGTTATGTCGGAGGTGGGCATTGCAGGAATCGGTGCTTACTGCGCTGGTTATTGTTTGCAGGCTGCGGGGACCTGGGCCCTGCTGTCCGACGCCCCGAGCCCGTTTCCCAGGTGCA